AAATATATATACCATTTTACCGTTTTCCCACCAGGTATCTGACTTTTAGTGTGGCTTGAAGAGAAATGCCCCCCACCCCCACTGCCACCACAGGTTCATGTATCTGAATACTTGGTCCCCAGCTGATGGCGCTGTTTGGGAAGGTTGCAGAACCTCACTGGAGGAGGTGGGTCTTAGGGGACACGCCTCCTGGAGGTTGTAAAGCCTGACCCTCACTTCCTGTTGTCCCTCTGCTTTAGTACTATAGATGTGATGTGACTGCCAACCTTGTACCCTGCTGCCTGCCTTCCCCACTGTGATGGATTACTGTATCCTTCTGGCACTATGAGCCAAGATAAACTCTTTCTCCCTTAGCTTGCTTTTTTCAGGTTATTATTATTTTTTTTTTTATCACAGTAACAGAGAAGTAACCAAGATAGGTCAAACACAGACATGCTTGCAGGTGCCAGGCACATGGTTTGCTTTTATTTTGAAAGGTTTCTTCGCTTTGTCCCTACACGGGGACCTATAGGAAGGGATAGTCCTACAGCGCATCCTCTCTTAAAATGAGTCCCCTAAGTTTTAAGCAGGGAGAGCATCTGCTTGGGCAATGGAACCACTGCTTGGGCAGTGGAACTTCCCTCGGCTAGTCTTCACCCCCTGACCAGCAGAAGAAGCCTTCCATGTGTACACACATCTGTCAGTCTTTAGAACTCAACCTCCAACAGTAAGACCTTACTTTGAACCCGGCCATCTTCCTGTTTCTCCAAGCATGGCTTCTCCTTTAATAAACAATGACCCAAAGCCTTTGGTGGGAGGGGGCAGAGTTGATGTTAGGAAATTTAATTTGCTGTAATCGACCCCTCCTAGCATGCAGAGTTACACAGTGCGAGGAAAAGAATTAATCTCTCCTAGAAAGAATTGCCTTTTTGCTGTTATGAATCTAATCACTTACGAGACTGGCTTGGCATTTTGGGTTTAGAGGAAGCTCTCAGGAATAAAAACCACCAGATTAGGTTTCAAATGCCATCTGAATAGGGTACTTCATTGAACTGGGCCGGGGGGGGGGGGGTTGCAGACAGAAGATGCCATGCAATGCAAATAGAGGCTCTTATGTTCTTTGGTTCTGGCAGAGACTCACCACCACGACCATGCAAAGAAACAGTTATGGAATGAATGCATCACCATGGCCTCTTGGGATACCCTGTCCCTATCCCTTTATTCCCATGAGATACTGCATTGCATAGAGCAGGCCTGCCAATCATCACTGGCACCCCCATTATACTGGGGGATGTGTCTTTTCCATGCATACTGTTTTATAATCCTCAGAGGTGGGATTTCATAGCACAGCAGTGCGTTTGCCTTTGACATTCTCCTAAGCAGGATTTATTGCCTCCAAAACAGATGTGACTTGAATCGATTATGCCTTGTAAGCACACACTCTCCAAGCAGCCTCTGGGCTCTCTGCAAGACTTTTGTTTCTTTTTCCTGGATTCATACAATGTGTGGCTGATGTCAGAGAATCTCATCATAATCGAATACTATAAAGAGCCCTGTGTGTACTGAACTAAGACACTTAGGAAGCCCACCAAGTCAAGGCATGTGGTTCATTCTCTGCTTTTGTCCCACAAAATGCAAACCTACAGACTGATCCATTGATATCATAAAATGCAGAGCCAAAAGAAAGCTGTGCATGCAAGCTACATTAACATTCTATTGATAATCCACTATTGAGCTTAGAATAATAAATAAGTATATCCATCTGTCTTTGGAAGAAAAATACGAAGCAATGTGTAAAAATAGATGGAAAATAACTGAATTTCACAAGAGTAAATGGGGTGTTCAATAAAGATTCTCACTAAAAAATATATATTTCTGGATGCCTACTACAAGAAGAAAAGAATGTATTTCTGGATGTCTACTACAAAACTCAAAACTACATTTTGGAGCTGGAGAGATGCTCAGTGCTTAAGAATACTTGTTGCTCTGGCAGAGGATTCAAATTCAGTTCCCAGAATCTATGTCATGAAGCTCACAACTGCCTGTAACTCCAGTTCTAGAGGATCTGATGCCCCCTTATGGCCTCTGTAGGCAGTGTACTTATGTGCACATACCTACATACAGACATATTTTTACAAACATATAATTACAAATAAAATAAATCTTTAAACAAATAAATAAAACCACCTACCCCCAGTCATCAACAAAATGCCATTTCCTCAGCATCATATAAAATTGGTGGCATTAAGCTGAAAGAGAATCACCCAGAGATTCTGTGCAACCCAAGGGGCTGGGACATCACAATTCTATTTGATTTCAGCAAAACTTTCAGAAATTTAAGTGTGTTTGTTTGGAAGTAAAGCTACAAGGCTGATATCTTGAAACTAAACTAAGTACAAGCCACTTCATCCTTTATAAATCTAAACGACAAGACTTTCACCAGTTTTTGAACAGAAAGAGGTCTGACACAAGAGTGTGCCTAGATACCACATGACAATACCTGACCAGCTTCCTGTGACAATTTTCCTGGAGATGTGGACCCAATCCACCTTGATTGTAGAGTGCAGGACTGGAGAGGAAGAGCCATAAAACCTAATTTTATTTGTCAAAATGAGAACATTCTATTTGTATCAATTCAGGAACAGAAGAAAACAAGAAAATAAAATATTCAGGAACCTTGTC